GTTCTTCTTAATGACAGTGAAGAACACGCGTGAAACATGTATACGTAAGAAATTATGCAATATTATCGCGGCAATATAATTTTCTTACATCTTCTTCTCGATTCATCGAGAGTGGTTCGTCAAGCTTCATTTCTACATTTCTGATACTGCTTTCTTTCATTCTGTTTTTTATTCAACGTTAATTGTTCGAGCGTTTCTCGTCGACACGTTACGTCGCTCGACTCGGTCGATATAATTGTTTTCGCTCGTGGTATTTTATGAACAAAAAGTGCTTCTACGTGCCATGTACTAATGACTTCCCGATAAGTTTTTTTTAATGGGAGTCGGCATGGCGATAGGAAGATGGTAGAGAAAGTAGCGGGCAAAGAGCCGAAAAAATTCCCGACGCCTCGCCGACGAGGATGGAAAAAGAAGGTTGTAATGATTATTCGGCCGGCACGAATACTTTCACAAGCGGGAAGAAAAAAAAAGAAAGAGAAGAAGAAGAAGAAGAAGAAGAAGAAGAAGAAGAAAAGAATGACTTTATCCATCCGCTATAAACGTCGTTTTTGCACGACCGCGATCTGTCGGTCGATTAATGTCGGTTATCGATCAATAAATTCGAGACTCCTACCTTCCGCATCGCGTATAAATAGAACCTCGGACTGCACGTGCGCGCACGTGCGCGCAGCACTACAATGTACTCTCTAAATTTCTTCGGGTGAAATTCCTGATCGGGAAGCGGAATGATTCAACCTTCAATCTCGAGTGAAAATACTCACCGCGCCGCGCGAGTTCATTCACAGAGATTGAAGGATGAATCTGACGTGAAGAATCGAATTCACCCTCGCCGATTGAAACGTTCACTTGCATTGGATTAAAAATCCGCTCGTGGCTCGACTGAAATATTCAGGTCGGCATTCGTGTAGTTGCACTGAGAGAACGAAAAGTGGCAACGATAATCGCGTAGACTATTTCTCCAGCCAGTGTTACCACTGGCTGTTAGCGATAATAACTACGTGTGCGTATCATAACCGCTATGTATTTTCGTTGGAGCAACAAAAAGATGCGGGGGTAACTATAATTTTAGCAACGCTGAACACTAAAATGTTCTTTTGTAACTTTCTATCGCTAGGGCGGATGAATTTTCACCTATAATTTGTTTTAATATTTTTTTTTTAAGCGTACACATAAACTGCAAATATTCGGTAAAAATTTGTAGCAAAATGTGCTAAATCAGTGTTAAATCGTATGCAATTTTTAAGGGAGAAATAACCTCTTATTGTAAAAAAAAAAAAATATTTCTTTTGTTTCGGCATAAATAGTCTAAGATATTTATTAGGTATAGCAGTTAATTTTTTTCCGATGAAATTCACCTAGCTCGGGGCAAATTTTGAAATTGAAATTGAAATTGAAATTGAATTCTCCCGCTCTTTTGCGGTTTCGAAGCGTTGACATTTAACTTTCCGAAATGACGCATGGCGTCTGGCGTTTGTAGCGATCGGATCTCAAGCCGTATTTAGCGAGAATTCACTCAAGGACATTTCTACACGGAAAGCAGTTATTTTTCGCTCCACCTACATCTTCTTGTCTTGTCCAACGAAAAAAAGGAAACAGCGGTTGCAACATGCACACATTGGGACAATGCTCGTTAGAAAACATTCTCCCGACCATAAATCCTCAGCTGCGCGATTATCATTACAAGTACCGAGCGCTTTCCTCTCTCAGGAGCGGAGCGCGAACAGGAACGGCGCGAACAGGTAGCGCGCGCTCGTCTGTCACTCGGCGAAATGTCAACCGAGAAAGTCGCCCGTCGGGAATCCAATCCGTCTAAAATCGGCGGAAACGCGAGCCGCATATGACGCCGTAAAATGATACTAATCAAATCACGAGCGACGGACGGACGGAGGAGGAGGAGGAGGAGGAGGAGGAGGAGGGGAATGACTCTCGGCTAGCCTGGCGTCATTACGAAATCGTCCTTTTTGCCGTTGCGCAGCGCTGCAACCTTGCACCTCCTCGCGCAGCACGAGCGCAACAAGGTGAGTGCATTACTCGAGCGAACGATCCCCGCGATCCTGTTCGATTATTACACCATCCGAGCGGAGATCTGGATGCTTATTGGAACGTATCGTCGCGCTCAGCGCGGCAATTATCATTCCGCGACTGTAGACCGACGTAGAATCCACTGCAGAAACTGCGCGATGCTGATCTCATCCATTGTCGCGTCGCGTCGCGTCGCGTCTCGGCTCGTTTCTGACGCTCGCCGGCGCCGAGCGAGAGGATTCGCTGCTTGCGCCTTAAATAGAGTAAAACGTCTCCGGTAGTCGGTTCTGCTCTCGCCAATTTATTATTTACTTTCTTCTTTGATTTAAGTCTTTGGTTTGATCGTTGACTATTATTTGATTTTTAATTATCGGTCGATCGGTTAAAATCTTGATTAAAATAATTGGCAAGTCGGTTGATGAAAATTAATCAATCGTCGCGTGTAATTATGAATATCTTAATTGATCGATGAAATTAATCGTTAAAAAGTACGATCGGCGTGGAATGAAAACGATCGAGATTCGGACGATAATTACGTGTGATTATTATTTACCAGATGTTTATTTGGATGATTCCAATCAACGGGAATTTCAATTAAACCAACGTTGCGCGAAGAGAATTCTCCTGGAAGATATTAACATTTCCTTACGCTGTAAAAAGCAATCTCACATTCAAACATATACCATAGAAGACTGTAAATATTTTGCGTATGATATATATATATAGGATGTCCAGGAGCAAAAAATTGTGAAGATTAATCAGATTAAATTGAGAGGAAGAATCAAGTACCATTTTGCAAAAATCGCAATAGTTATTAAGTTATTAATGATTGAAAATGATCATATACATAGGGGCTCTTTTAATTAATAACTCGAAAATTTGCACATTCATTTGCAAAATAGTAAAGTACTTTTTCGTTCAGAATGATCTAACCTACAATTATTGTGCCTAACGATAGATACAAATATGTTGAATTTTGAACCTATAAGCATGATAGCCGTCATAATTGTAGGTCAGGTCATTCTGAACACAAAAAAGTCCCTCGCCATTTCAATCATTAATTATTTAATAATCATCGCGATTTTTGCAAAATAGTACTCGACTCTTCTTCCCGGTCCGATCCGATCAATCATCAAAACTTCTCGTCTCCAAAAGATCACCCTGTAACCGGACACCCTGACACAAACTTTCACATCATAAGACATTTCGCATCGAAAAGATGCCGGGGGACGTGCCATTAATTAATTACCGTAGCGCACAAACTCGGACCTCGGCACGAATGCGTCCCAGCTGCACAATACAGTGTGTGTGTGTGTGTGTGTTACGGTACATTGTTCGAGAAAAATGCGTGCGGTTTTGCCATGTAAAATGTATCATCGCCGAGCGGCGATACCGTTCCGAGAAACCGAGAGACGCGGGGAGAAAATCCGCAGGGCCATACCTGTCGCGGCTCGCCTCGCGCGCGGTGATTGCCTTTGAATACATTCCCAGACACACGTACACACACACACACACACACGCACGCGCGCGCGCCTTACATAAGGAAAACAAGAGAAATTGTATCATTTTGTTCGGCGGGGCCGCGCGCGTTCACGCGCCGCCGAAACTTTCACCGCGTTTATTACTAACGTGCTCGTTACACGGAACGACGGCCGACCACGTCGTAGCCGCTCCGTCGTTCCGTTATTCCGCTTCCTGCAGCGCGCGGCTCGTTTTTGGCGGAAAGAGAACGCCCACGTGAGACTGTCGCCGCGCGCGCGTTTTCCGATCCGCCCGCTCGCTCGTATAATCGCGGAAATCTCGTCGCTGCGCTTCGGGCGAGCGAGCCGCGCGACGAAACGTCCCGCCGCGTGTTATTGATCCTTTCCGGTCTGGCGATTTCAATCGGAGCCGCGCATACATTGTTCCTTACGTAAGCGGGTTGACCAATTCCAGGATAGCTGGAACGTTCTCTCGAATTTCTCCTCGGCGGGGTCGAGCGGCCGATTATGGCCGGAGCGCGCCGACGGAAGTGCGCTGAACGGTGGCGCGCGAATTCGGGCTGTCGGGTTAACTCCTTCGGTGGCGAGAAAGAAGAGGAAAACCCCGGTTTTTTGCTCTTTTTCCCTCTTTTTTTGCCCCGCTCACTGAAGACGGTCGGAACGAAACGGCGCGGCGACCGAAGCGTTTCGGCGACTCCAACAGCAGCCAGCCCGTCCCCGCTGCTGCTGCTGCTGCTGCTTTCTCTGTTTTATTTCGCTCCACGGCTATATTTCTTCTCTTTTTTATCTGTACCTTTTTTTTTTATTTTATTTTGCCTCAAGACTTCATTCTAATTCACGGCTGTTCACGCTTGTCGTGACTGAATGGGCCTCGCGATTGAGATCTCGCGCTGGTCCCTCTCGTTACCTCATTCACTTTTTCGGTGAAGGATATTCGAGCGAGAGGTCGAGGAGAGGTAGACTGCGAAAAGGTATATTGAAGTGAGATCGACGAAAAGTACTGGACGAAATATTTGGCTTTCACCTGTGAGAACACACGTCGCAAAATAAAATACCAGGCATACCTTACTTTTGCCATACTTTTACGCAAACGCAAATATAACGAAACGCGCCATTGGAAAGAAGGAACAAAAACCCGTGGTTGCCCGAGCGGCACGGTCAGTGACAGAAATATCGCGACACCTTCGGCTCGACGAACTTGAAGACTCAGCCGAGCAGGCTGAGGGGGGAGGGGGGGAGAAGCAACAAATCTTTCCTCATTAGACACGAAGAACACATAAACGAAGTCGTCGAGCGAATGTGTCGCACCCTCTCTCTGCCGCTGAAAGACCATTACCTACGTGTTTGCGTGCCCGGGTGCAAAAGAACGGGCGATTTACAATGGCGGCAAGTTTACGGGTGAAGCGTTCAAAGACCCAGCGAATCGCTCTCGTTGAGGCCAAGCCGAACGAGCGCCCGATGTATCGAATGATCCCACGGGAAAAATGACCTTTGCAGGATGCCACGGAAGATCGGCGTCTACGTTAGCGCGCTGCTCGTCCTGCTGCTCGAGCTGACAGCATCGACCGTGGTCCTGCCGAGGCCACCCTCGTCGCTCAATCACATCCGCCATGATCAGCGGGAGTTGTCCGCGCGGAAGGCGGTCGAGGGCAAGTCTCTGCACGGCGTCTCGCGGAATATCGCCGCGGGGAGGCCCGACGATTACAGGTAACGCGATATTCGCCAACGGGCTTTTATTCCCAGCTAAGTCGCGAACGGACCGTCCCCTTCGCGTCCTTTATCCGACTCTCTCTCTCTCTCTCTCTCTCTCTCTCTCTCTCTGAGAGAGAGAGACCGATCTATCGACGACATTCCTACGCCGCTTACAAGTAAACCTCGGCGAACGTCAGACGCCGATTTGTTTCCAATTTTTTACAGTTAATTTTTATGTCAAAATATGAAGAAACCCGTTATCATTTTTAGCTTGCATTAATTTTTTAAATTTTTTCGAAATTTTTCAAGTTTTGCACGAGTACACTGTTTTATACATATTTAAAATAATATTTCTGAAAAAAAAAAATATATATATATATCTGATTTGTTGAAACTTGCGCACACATGTCGCCGATTATGAATCAGAACCATTTTGTCAATTCAAAATGGTGGATCTAATATCGCTGACGTCATTGTTGAAAAAGTGTTCAGTTTTATGTTACATTCGACATTGGGTGGTCTTTCGGCTCAGTATCCAGCAAACAAACTCATTTTAACGTCAAAATCTGGTAAAAAATGAACAAGAAATGAACAAAAAAAGAATGAACGAAAAGCTTTAGAAATTTCGAAAAAATTGAAAAAATTAATTTAAGCTAAAATTGATAACAGATTTCTTTATATTTTGGCATTAAAAATAACTATAACAAATTGGAAACAAATCGGCATCTGACGTTCCCCGAGGTTTACTTGTTAGCTGCACGTCTCTCGCGATCCTGTTGCTTCGGCGAGAGAAAAGGCCCCAAAAAGAAATATTCCATTTTTTTTTAAATGATTTTTCCCACAGTCTTATATTCCAAGCGAAGCCATTTACAGAAAAAGGATTCCTCTTTCGAGAAACGTGACCCATTTATCTAAAATTTATTAGATATTATTCCAACTGTTTTCCTCTTATTTCAAGAGGATTCCTCTTATATCGATTCATTTTCCTCTCGTATGAAGAGGAATATGTTGATTTGAATGTCGGCTTCTTTCGTTCAGTCACGCTCCACCTCCAGACGCGAACGAAAAAATAACCACATCATGAGTCAAAATATTTGGAACGCTTTTGAAAAAAGATATGTGTGTTGCTGTAACATATAACGAACATAATTTACCGATATTTGGTCAAATACAGTTTACAATCTATTGCAACAAGTTGAGTAATATATTCTTTCTTCTAATTAATTTTCGTACAATATTGGTTATTGCACGACGAACATCTTTATAGCTACAAAGTCCATAACAAAACTGATTGAAAATTTGCTTGTCATCATGATGTTATTTTATTCGTGCCTACCTATTGTGAAATGGAGCCAGAAGTACATCTATATATATATATATATATATATTACTTTTCGCTATACATTGTAATAATTTTTTAAAAATAAGTAATATAACCAGTAAGAATAAATGATAATCCTTTTAAAAGAAGATTAAATAATCTGTGTATAAGGGGAAATTTATATTAAAATCAATAAGATTCGCATCACATATATAATATATAATTCCACTAACTTTAAGAATAATGTGTTTAAAATATTTTCCTCTTAATCTTAGAGGCCTCTTTATATAATAAAATTCTCTCAAAATTTAGACGATTCTGAAATTACTTTTCTTTTTTAGTATTGTTTCAGTGAGAGAGCGTTAATCGACTGGAAGATTTTAGTTGACTCGGGTAATCAAGATCGACAGTTAATTATCAATCTCATCGCGGCTGGTTGAATTATTCTCCATTGCGTATATGGTGATTGATGAATCTTTTGCCTGTTAATTCGCCCGTTATTCCTGTCACCCAGGATCTTCTCATCGATCGAAACGTCCAGCAGCGTCGGGCTTAATGGACTGAAATCTTGCTCGATTGGGAGAATCAGGGCGAGCGTCGAGCGAAATTAGAGAACAATTTCTCGATCGATCAATCTCCCTGTGACTTCATTGACTTCATATATCAGTAATCGATAATTTCTCGTCGTTTCTCGACTGAACTGTTTGCGACCGCACCGCGACAACGATTGATCAATCCTGATTATCGATTCGCCGTATTGTTTCGACAGTCAACTGCAATTTCCACCCGACTAGCGCCCAAACTCGGTGCGTCCGGTTATTCATACGTATGCGTGTCACGTGATCAATTCTGCTCCAGTCGGGAAAATAATACACACACGTCGTGTGCTCCGTTCGAGCACAAATATTCGTCTTTCGAATATTTCCTCCACATTTTTCGTCTCTTTCTCTCGCACGCCTCGCACATGTTTATTAGCCGCCGACGCGCGGTTACCGCTCGTCAATTAACACTTTCATATTTTTCATCATGTCACCCACTACAAACAAATTCTAATATCGGCGCCGACGTGACTGACACGCGCGCGCGAGTGAACTCGGAGAATAACGCCGACATCGTGTCCCACTTGGGACGCGTAACGTGAAAAGTTCAGCAGTCTAATTAGTATATAGAAGTCCGCGATTCCCGCGCGATTCGCGAGCGAGCTGGTGCGAAGCTGAACACGCCCGAAGAAGCAAGCCGCGACCGGAGATATATCCGAAGTGCCGTGATTTTCCCTTTACCGCTAATTAGACCTCCGCCTCTCGTCGAACGCGCCGTCGGGCGATGCGCGAGATCGCGCCGAGTGAGATTCGGCTCGAGATCAGGCGCACCTCGCCTCGCCTCGCCTCGCCTCGCCGCCTTCCTCCTCGCTATCGCCTCGCCGGATCGAGCGGCCTTTTCCACGGCGCCCGCGTTTTCTTTTTTCCCTTTTCATAACCGCCGACTGCTATCGATATTATATTCCAGCGCCGTCGCGCGCGTTGCCCCGGCAATTCACTTTCGCTCACGTGGCTCGAGCAGGCCGCACCGCGCCGCGCCGAGCGACGAGCTCGTAATACGAAGTTGCGAGAGAGCGAGCGAGTCTCGCGATGAAAACTCGCTTAACCCCTTGACTGGGCGGGTGACGTGTATACACGCATCGAAGAAAAAAATATTGGGAGTACAAATTAGTTCGGTTCGTTTTTTTTTCTGTTAAAAGATGTATCTATCTCAAAACAAAATGAATGAACAGATCAATTGAAGTATTTCCCATCGCTGGCTACTACTTTCTCCCATTTCTCAGGCAATTTTCGAATTCCATCTCGAAAAAATGACTCGTCGTCTTTTGAGGCGATTCAAGGTCGGAGCCAATTTTCGATATCCGCGAAAGAAGTGAAGCGGTGACACCTGCCAAATCGTGCTGCATCCTTCGGAACAACCAGTAGTCAGAAGGAGCAATGTCCGGAGAATACGGCGGGTGCGGTGAAACATCCCATTTGAGCGTTCCCAAATATTTTTTTACGACTTTTTTGCGACATGAGGCCGAGCGTTGTCATGAAGAACGCCTTTCAACGTCTCTCGGTCTTTCAGTTCATAAGGCACCCAATTTCCTTGTTTCTTTAATAATTCCCATATCTCTCAATCGTACGGAAACGGCTTGAGTTGAGTCACTCCCAATGATTCTGCAAGCTCCTCTTGCGTTTGACTCTGATCTTCTTCGAGTAACACCTCTGATTCTTTGTCCTCGAATTTTTTTGGCTGTCCAGAGCGAGGCTTGTCTTCGACACTGAAATCCTTCATCCTTGATACGTCGAAACCATTCCCTATATGATTTATCAGTTGGAGCAGCGTCACCATAAACTTCAACAAGCATTCGATGGGCTTCAGCTGCACTTTTCTTCCAATTAAAGCAGAAAATTAAAACCTCCCGCAAATGCTGCTTGGTTAACACAAAATTCGACATCTTCAACACTGTAAAAAGCAAGGTTTTTGTATGAAACTCAAAGCGATATAAACTGAATATTATTGGCAGATGTCTAACCTCTCTGAAACCGCCAAAATCGGCAGTCACTATGAACCATTCGTAACAGCCGGAGCCATCTTTTGAAAACGGACCGAACTAATTTGTACACCCAATAGTAAAACTATTGTTCTTTGCATACAATTGTGAGTATCATACATGTGTTTGGTGTCGCTGAATCCGAATTTGATATAAAAATTTCGAAATGGCGGATCCAACATGGCGATTCAAAATTATGAAAATAATAGGATTTTCATGAAAGTAGGCGTCTGTATGTTTTTGGGCTCGCTGAATCCGAATTTAATATCAAAATTTTTAAATTCAAAATGGCGGATCTAATACGGAGTGTAAACATTTTGAAAATAATCGGATTCATGAAAGTGGGTATCTATAGGGTTTTAAGGTCGCTGAATTCGAATTTGGTATCAAAATTTCAAAATTCATAATAGTGGAATAAAAAATTGCAAGTAAAGAAACATTTATATACATATAATACCGCTTTCTGCCGAACACGGAGTTACAAAACCGTGCCGGTTTTTGACTCCATCTTCATATATTTCTTTTGTGTTTATAGTTTTTAACTTTTTTTGCTTTTATAATTTTTAATTCTTTTTGTTTCTATAAGTTTTGTTTCTTTTCGTTTTTATAATTTTTATTTTTTTGTTTCTATGATTTTTAATTTTTTTTATTTTTATAATAGTTCTACTAATTTTTTAAAATGATAATAAAATGATACTTTGAACTGCATTTGAAATCTTTTATCGTAAAAAAAAGAAACACATGTTGGAATGTATTTGTAATAGCGAAAGATTTGTAATCGCTTTTGCGATATTTTTCAAAGCATGGTACTGGACATAATAGCATTTCGTCGCACTGCTTGCACATATAAGCTGTATCTTTCCTTTTATTATTTGAAATCTTGATATCAAATTTGGATTCAGGGACCCCAAAAACATAAATACCGATTTTCATGAAAATCCGATTATTTTCAAAACTTAGATCCGCTATATTCGAACCGCCATTTTGGATTTTGGAATTTTTATATCAAGTTTGGATGCAGCGATCCGAGAAACATAAATACCGACTTTCATCAAAATCCGATTATTTTCAAAATTGTGACCCGCCATATTGGATCCACCATTTTGAATTTCGAAA